CCTCGGTGTTGCTCCCGCGCCTCGCTCAGCCAGTGAGCGGGAGCCGGTCCGTATGTGGGATCCGAACCCTCGGACGGGAGCGCCGCCGCGCTTCCCAAGCGGCGCACTATCCAGTGCGCCACCAGGCCGGCCCTAAGAGTGTTTTTCTACCATGAATGTTCCCCAATTCCATCTAGTTCCACCCAGTGAAACCCAAACTCTTTTTCATTAAGTTTTTATTTTTAAATAATTTCAGGCTTTTAGAAACATCATAAAGAAGAATACCAAGAATTTCTATATGCTCTTCACCCAGACTCCCCGTTTTACCACATTTATTTTATCATTCTCGCCCCAGCCCCTCCTCGCTGTTTATCTATGCATGTGTGTATGGTTTATTTATATTCATATATATAACACATATTTATTACTATACTGTTTTAGAGTAAGTTGCAGTCATGATGCCCCTTTACCCTAAATACTTCAGCGTGTATTTCCTAAAAAGCCATTTTAACATTCTCTTGCAGAACACAGTAAAATTATCAAAATCAGAGAACTAACACTATATAATACCATTATCTAATCTACAGATCTTCTTTAAAATTTGCCAATTGTTCTAACAATATCTTTTATAGCAAAAGAAAAAATCAAAACTTTTCTGGTCCAGGATCCAGTCTAGAATCATGCATTGCATCTAGCTGTCACGTCTCTTTAATCTCCTTTGATCTGTAACAGTTCCTCTCTTTGTTGTTCTTATCATTCATGACTTTTAACATTTCTGAAGAGCACAGGGCAGTTATCATAAATAATTTCCAAACACAGTTGAGTGTGTTGGATGTTTCCTCATTTTTAGGTTCAGGTATGTAGCTGAGGCAGGTGATGTGTCCTTCCTGTGCATCATATCAGGAACACACCTTGCAGGTATCACCCATAAGATTAACTTTGATCATAAGGATGCCAGGTCTTGCCACTGTAAAGGTCCTATTTTTCCCTTTGGAATTAGTAAGTAATTTGGGTGGAGATTATTTTGAGAATATGCAAATAATCTTCTTTCTCATCAAATATTTACCCACTGTTTTTAACCTCTATTCAATCAAACATTATGGTAATGGTTGCCAAATGGTAATTTCTAATTCCTTCATTCCTTCTACATTTATTAGTTACTGCTTTACTACTGAAGAAGGGCTTTCTCTTCTCCCCCATTAAATAAATTAAATAAATTTAATCACTTTTATTTATGTCACTATGGGATCATGGATTCTTCTTTTAATCAATGGGTTATAGTCTATTACTATCATTATTTGTCGTGATGCTCAAAGTTTCAGCCAGTAGGAGCCCCTTCAAGCTGGCTTCAATCTTTCTGTCACATCCCTGTCATCCTTTGAGCATTTCCATAGTTTCTGGCATGACAAGTTGTTGCAGGTTCACTTTTACATTCCTCACCCCAGTCCTAAATTTTTCCAAGAAATTTTGATTCCTGGTAGTAGAGAATGGTATTTAGAAACCAAGATTAGGGGGCCGGCCCGGTGGCGCACTGGATGGTGCGCTGCTTGGGAAGCGCGGCGGCGCTCCCGCCCGAGGGTTCGGATCCCACATGCAGACCGGTTCCCGCTCACTGGCTGAGCGAGGCGCGGGAGCAACGCCGAGGTTTGCGATCCCGTTGCCGGTCCCCGGTCCGGTACGGGGGCAACACTGAGGGTTGCAATCCGTTGCCGGACCGGAAAAAAGACAAAAAAAAAAAAAAAAAAGAAAGAAACCAAGATTAGGGCACTAGGTATGTTCAGAGCTATCATGATGTCATATGTCACTGACTCTAAATCTTCTTGGTGAACAGTTTGGTAAATAGACACACATGCACACATGCATATTGCTACGGTTTGAATGTCTGTGTCTCCCTAAAATTCATGTTTAAACTTAATTCCCCTTGTGGTGGTATTAAAAGGTGGGGCCTTTTGGGAAGTGATTAAGTCATGAGGTCTCTGTCCTCTGAATGGGATTAATGCCCTCATAAAAGAGGCTCTAGAGAGCTGCCTGGACCTTCCATCTCTTCGGCCATATGAAGATGCAGCAACAAGATGCCATCCTGGAAGTAGAGAGCAAACTCTCACAAGATACTCACTGAACATGCTGGTGCGTGATCTTGGACTTCCTAACCTCCCAAACTGTGAGAAATGAATTTCTATTACTTATAAATTACCCCGTCTAAGGTATCTTGTTACAGGAACAGACTAAGATACAGACACCTTTATAGTATTAATTCCTGTATCTATCCATCTATACATATTTAAAAACATGAGCTGATACTGATAATCCTTGCCACCTTTAAGGACCAGGTCAAATACCACTTCTCCCTTCAAGCACTTCTGGGTGCCCTCAGTTGCAACTGCTCTATCTATTCTGACAGCACTGCCATCCACCCCCTATCTTTTGTCACCTTTCCTCACTGGTTTATAAACTCCCTAATGGCAAGAATCAAATCACATTCATCTTTGTTTATCTCATAGAACCCAGCAGAGTGCCCTAAGTATGGTAGATAGGTAACAATTACACTGAATGGAATTTTCATACAAGGAAAGTAATCTGTATGGCGTCCAAAGTTAATAAAACACACAAATTTTCCATTTCTGCATCTGCTGACATGCTTAACTTTTCATACCTAGGGAAATATGTCAGTTTTAGGCATCTCCACTTTTTTTCCCCTTGTACCCTAGAAACCATATTTCTTTCATTAAAATAAACATTAGTATCATCTTATTAGAGTTCTATTAGATCTAGTTCCCTTTTTTCATTTATTTGTAAAGGATTTTATTAAAGAGAAAGACTTTTTATCTCAAGGTATGAGGAGTTTCATTTATCTATTTTTAGAATTACAGTTTTTGCTTTACTCATTCCTCTAAAAATATTTTTATTAAAAAAATTTTTAAGATAAATTTCACAACAGCACTCTTATCCTGAAAGACTACAATATGCTTCATCAACTTCTATATTTTTATATAAAATGTTGGTTAAAGTCACATACTTTTCTATTTGTGCTTGAAATAAACTGTAATTTTTATACCATTTAAATATACTTGAATAAGTTAAAATAGATTTTCCCTTTAATTTAGGTCCACAGATCTGGTAATCTCAGAGTTTAATGTTAGGCTTGATTCCTTCCTTCAGAGTTTAACAGAAACAGGTTGCTGGCCAGTTAGCTCAGCTGGTTAGAGCGCCACCTTATGGCACCAAGATCAAAGGTTCAGATCCTTTTTTTGCTGGCCAGCCACCAAAAAAAAAAAAAGAAAGAAAAACATCAAAACAACAAACATGTCAAAGCATCAAATATGCACTTAAAATATCTCCTTTGCAATCAAAGGGAAAAAGAAAGCAAACCATGTTTGCCTGTTAAATAATGATTCAAGTTATTTTTCAAAATAATAAATAATAGCCCACAGAGAAAAAGATACTTGAAATGGTGAGTATGTGGGAATTTAGGGAGGTATGCATTTAAACCTCGAAGCTAATTCTTCTGTGACAGTGTAAAGCCGTCCCCACACAGATGACATGTTGCTCTTACCGTAAGTGTGGCTGTGTTCTCATCATCAGACCACTGCGTGGAACAGACAACATAAAAAACATTAAAATCAAATACTGTTTTGGGCTTCCAAAAATCAGCACTCCATCTAAAAATGATACATAAACAGGAGACATCTTTTTCTGAACACAAATTATATGTAAAAATATATGTCAAGGTGAGTTTTTCATGTAATTTCTCACTTTTATCAAATGTTAAGATACGATCTAAATGTCAGAACCATTTCAGAGATCATTTAAATTAGAAGAGTCTACAGAACAGATTATCTTATTTTTTACCAACCTGTATTTCTTCTGCTTCATCATCCCTGTCTGGCTGAGAGTGTGTTGGTGGATCTTCCCTAAAAACACATAAAGCGAAAATTAAGCAAGAAAAAAACTTTGGTACTATGTCATCATAATTTCAGGTGTACTGAATACATATATATTTTATTTATATATATATATGTGTGTGTATATATATATATATATATGTATGTGTGTGTGTGTGTGTGTATATATATATATATATATAAAACAGCCTTAGAATTGGGGAATATAAGGAAAAGTTCACTTTTTAAGACATGAGTAAAAAACAATATAAAATTAACAAGAGTGCATGTCCAGTAAGAGATGACAGAATAAAAACTTTATGCCCTCTTGTCAGAAAGCACTGAAAACAAGGAAAAGAGAACTGAAACTCCATCTCTGATAATACTAAGAATTATCTATGACTCTGAAACCCAATATATGTGAATGTGCTGCCCAAGACAGACAACATCAAAGGATGCAGGAAGACATCAAAAAGAAATGTCTGAAAAGCTGTTCTACACAGTTGACAGGACAGACACCCTTGGGGGCCCAAACCAAGAGTCTTTTCTTTGTACAATGAAAACAGAGCATGTAGGCCGGTGTCAGGAATTACTCTGGGTCTAGGCTGGACCACAGAAAAGGCTGGGGGGCAGGGGGTTCTCAGGCACACTATCTCTGAAGAAGCCAGTAAGCAAAGCAGGGTGTTGAAAAGGGCCATCCAGCAGCCAATCCTTACTGCATAGCAGGGGAACAAAAGCTGAAAGAACTCAGAGGGAATAATCAGAACACTGCCCTGGCCCTTCCTCAACACTCAACTACAATTAGCCTTGGAAGAACTCACATCTTTGGGGGGAAAAAAAAAATCAAAAGAAGAACCAGCACAGGAGCTACACAAAGGCTATACAAGAAAAATGGAAAAGGAAGCTCTGGCTAAACATGTGCATTTATCCCTATTTCCCCCTTGAAACTCTGCTACAATGACAGGAAAGATCCCAAGGACAAAAGGACCAAAAAGGAGACAACTACAAAAGAAAGATGGCAACAAAGCTTGGAAAACAGAAAGCCAATGGGAGAGAAAACCCAAGGAGCGACAGGTTAGAACTCTGAGATATCACTGAAGAGGCTACTGAAGCTCTAGGCTAAAAACAAGGTGATCTGTGCAAAGTCCATCTACCGAGCAGTAAGACTGAGAAAACCCAAGGAGCGACAGGTTAGAACTCTGAGATATCACTGAAGAGGCTACTGAAGCTTTAGGCTAAAAACAAGGTGATCTGTGCAAAGTCCATCTACCGAGCAGTAAGACTCAATCTTCTTTACTTCGCACACCCTAGCAACTAATCCTCCTCAGCCTCTTTGGTAAGTAGGTTTGTTACTGGGAAAAAATGAACTAAAGAGGCTAGGGGTTCAGGTTCATAATGGCCCAGAGGAATTCAGGGGTGAAATGCTAGACAACGACAAGGAGCTATGTGAAAGCCATACTGAACAGTGCTGCCCCTCGCCCCTTCCTCCCACCCTGCTCTCAGAACAGACAGATTAGAGGATTCTTCTCTGTAGGAACTGAACAACACTAGAGAAAAGACCTACAGATACTGTCATCTGGAATCTTCTATCGATACTTGCTAACCAACGGCACTCTTAGTCAACAAGTCCCACCCAGGTACGCAAAGTTTGCAAATGTTCGTGTGTGTCTCCTCCTCACTCTTAAATATGAATAAAGGCCTAATCAATCATTAGAAAACTGAAGAAAGGTTCCAAGATTAAAAATAAAAGTTTTTAAAAATGAGATAAAAAAGGTACATGGAATAAAAAAATAAAGGGACCAGATGAAAAATATTTTAAAAAATCATTAATGTCCTTGTAGAAACTGAAAACATGATACCTGAAATGTAAAAACTCAACAGAATAAATAGAAAAATCAAGAAAATTACCCAGAAAGTAGAACAAGGAAGACAAAAAGATAGACAATAGAGAAGAAATGATAAAATTCAGACAACTGATCCAACATGTAAGTAATAAAAGTTCCAGAAGGAGAAGCAAAAAGATAAGAGGAAGTTATAAAAGATATAAAATTTGTTAATGTCCCAAAACTGGAAAATACAAGTCTCTAGAGCAAAAGGGCCTACCAAGTACTAGCACAATGAATGGAAAGAATAAAAAAACCACCGTACATATGCAAAGACAGCCACAATAATTCTTTCTGTTTCTTTAGATATGCCCTTTTCAAGGGTGACGTTGCCACTCTTCCCATCGAGAAATGGCATTTATTATTTTCCCATCCCTTTCATTTAGACTGGCTTCAAGACTCATTTGAACATCAATAAAATATAGCACAAATGACACCATGTGATTCTGAAGCTCAATGTCAAGAATACTTACAGCTTCCACTCTCATCCTTTAGGAATTCTGCCACTGCTCTATAAAGAAGCTAAGCTCGCCTTTCTGAGGATGAGGAGCCACACAGAAAGAGGCCCAGATGAGAGTATCAGCTACCAGACATGAGTGAGGCCATGATAAGACTTTCCAGCTCAGTATAGCCACTCAGTGACTACAGCCACATGAGTGACGTTATTAGCAAGACCAATAGAAGACCTGCTCAGTGTCAAGAATTATAGAGGACCTGAGATTTTACCCTAAGTTAACCTGCCACAGTTTCATGACACTGGCAGAAGACGAGGAAACTCCTGGATCAGAAACAAGGTGCTATGTTATTCACAGCACAGCATGCAGCATGACCTTCATCTTTGCCTCAGTTCCCTCTTGCCCTCACACCCCACAGCGGTGACGCAGGGTGACCCAGGTTTGCATTACAACTGAGGAACCCTGAACTTAGGGAATCTTATGTTTTATAATGGGCTACAAGTAAGCCTGCTCAATCTCTGGCCCAAGGGGAGACATTATCTTTATTTATATTGCACAGTAAACCTGCTCTGTGCTCTGGAGGGAGACATTCTATCTTCTGAAGCTGCTAACTCTATAAACACCCTTGAAAAGATGGTCAAGAACAAAAGCTGGCAGTGCCTCTGTTTGCACGATGTGCAGTAATGTAAGAGACCCAGAGAGACCCAAGAAAAGTGTCACCCAACCCCCAGCTGAGCAATCACTGACAAATAAAAAGGTTACTATTTCGAGCCACTAAGTTTAGGGTGGTGGGTTACACCATAGCAGATAGGTGATAGAGACTATGATTAAATATAAAATATGAAAGAGAAAATCTCAAGAACATTCATAAGGAAAAACAAGTCACAATAAAAACACAAATCAAAATGACATGGGCTTTTGTAGTATTCTAGAAGAAAGCGGACTATGCCTTCAAAATCAGAGGGCAATTTTCTGCTTAGAATACCATATTTAGCCAACCCCCTACCCCCAACAAATCAAGTGTAAGAGTAGAATGAAAATTTTTTCAGACATGAAAAGACTCAAAAGCTTTTCTTCCTATATATTCTAGAGCATGTGTTTCAATAAAACGAGTAAACCAAAAGAAACAAAAATGTGGTATCCAAGTAACAGAAAATCCAACACGTAAGAAAAATCCCAAGCTTACAACTGTATACCAGACCTGCAGAGCTGCCAACTCAGAATGGAACAGGAAGATGGATAACTGCTAAAGTGAGATCTCTGGGAAAGGAAAAATGGAACTGCTAGATTTGGAACTGTATTTGAAGGTTTAGTAAAATAGCTAATAGGCATATGACCTGTCTACTGGAACATTTGTGAAATATTAGTAAGAGATACATAGAAAATAAAACAAATAAAAACATAAGTATTAGTTCCAGGGAAATCAAAGTCATTAAAAAAAAAAAAAGGTAATCATAGTATATAATGTGGCTGAGTAGTCAACAGTAATGACATAATACTGTTAACACTGACTACCAATTTAACCAAAAACTGTAATGAAGATAAAAGGATAGGGCCGGCCCGGTGGCGCACTGCTGCAGTGCGCCGCTTGGGAAGCGCGGCGGCGCTCCCGCCGAGGGTTCGGATCCCACATACAGACCGGCCGCTCACTGGCTGAGCGAGGTGCGGGAGCAACACTGAGGGTTGCGATCCCGTAGCCGGTCCGGTACGGGCGTGACACTGAGGGTTGCGATCCGTTGCCGGTCACGAAAAAAGACAAAAAAAGGAAAAAAAAAAAAAAAGATAAAAGAATATAAGAAAGCTAAGTCTCCAAAGACCATAACAAAAATAATATTGAAGACAGAGATAATATTAAAAAATAATAGTTGTATTAGTCCATTTTTGTTGCTTGTAACAAAGTACATGGAACTGGGTAATTTATAAGAAAACCAAATTTATTGCTTACAGTTTCTGAGGCTAGGAAGCCCAAAGTCTATCTGGTGGTGGCAACAGTGACCCTGGGTCTCACACTGCAAGATGGTGGAAGCAGAGAGAACAAGAGCAAGAGAGACAGACTCTCCTCTTCCTTTAAAGCCCTCAGAACCATGCCTCTGACCATCATTTTTAATCCATTTACTACTGCACGGTCCTATAATCCAATCACCTCCTCAAGACTCCACCTTTCAATTACCATAATAGGATTTCCCATCCTCTTAACAGTCACAGTGGGGGCTAAGTTTCTAATACATAAAACTTGGGGGACACAATTCAAGCTTCAATGAGTTTCAGGGGGACATAATTCAGTCCACTACAATAGTCTAAGTACATTGTTAAGAAACATGAAGCTACAGAGAGTGATTCTGTTCATATTTGTTGAGGGTATACTATGTATTAAGTGTTCTTCCGAGTGGTAGCAATCACCAGAAACACATACTCTCCTCTGCAAATCAAGAAATTGACACTCTGGTTTATCAGTCAATCTGCTGTGACTTGGGTTAATGTGTGTCAGTTCCTTAAATTTTAATCAACTCTTTGCATTCCTATAGAATTGAGTTTCCAGATTCAAAAAGCTAAGAACCAAACACTGTACTATAGTGATAATACTGTCTACTCATGAATCCCTGCACTACCCTTTCTTTCTCTTATATCTCTCTTTAAATGCCACATGACATTTTTATTACACTATGCTCTAACCAAATGAGCTAACTGGTCAGCCCACATTTTTAAATGCAACATTATCTTTAACATGCCTTACTTAACTTACAACATAAAATGTACCCAACAAACTTGAAAATGTATTTTATCACTCTAAAAATCACCTGTGATTTTTTGTTAGCATAACAAAATACATTTTCAAAAACACATTTGTAATCAGTATATACATATAGTTCTTCAGAAGAACTTTGCAATGCCTACTGTGAGGTATGACACAAAACATGTTCACTATAAAAAATGGTAATGTGTACCAGTTTGCAAATTTATAAAACTTGGCTTTCTAAGGTAACCCTCTAAATACTGAGGACTGAACTGATAAAAGTATGATGCTAATATGTAGGATTCCATTGTTTTTTACATTACAGCTTGCACAGAGCTGGCACATAAGTGCACTGGCTCTGAAGGCAGACAGTTTAATCATCTCAGTTCTGCAACTGTTCGCCAGAGCTCTGCATCAGTATCCCATCTATAAAGTCAGGATAACAGAGTTGTGAAGAATCAAAATAAGAGCACACCTAACAAGTGTCATCTATTATTATTCTGCCATAAGGGAGACAGGATCAGGAAAAAATTCAGAACCAAAAAGGGAAAATGAAGATTAGTGCTTGGAAAGGAGGCACCATCTGAGTCAGACCCAACTTGTGGGGTCAGTTCAAGTATCAGCTTACCACAAAAACTTCCTGGATCACCCCAGCTTACAGTGATTAATTGATAAATATTGCTTTTTTCAACAAAGCAAATGACATTTCCGTTCATCTAGTGTTCAATCAGAAATCTGAGAGGAATGCTTGATACTTCCCTTTCCATCATCAAGTTCTGAAGATGCCAGCTCCAAAATATCTCAAATACACACACTTCTCTCCCTCCACCATAACCATCTTAGTTCAAGCCACTAGCAGGTCTCACCTGGTCCAAGGTAGGAACCTCCTAACCGGCCTTCCATTTCCACACAGTGACCAGCCACTGTTCTGAAACTGCAATCTATCAAGTCACTCTCTTGCTCAGAAATCTTCGATGTCTTCCTGTCATCCTCAGAATAAATTCTAGGAACTTTAAGACAACTCCCACACACACTCCCCAATCTTAACCCTAACCACCTCCCCCATGTCACAAAACTGTCCCCCTTTACTCTCCCCGTTCCAGCCACATGATCCTCTCCTAGTTTCCTGCATGTCAAGATCTTCCATGCCTCAGAGCCTTTGTTAATGCTGTTCCCTCAGCCTGGAAGATTCTTCCCTCCACCCCGCAACTGACTACCTTCCTCCACCTTCACATCTCAGAGGCTCAAAAGGACCCTCCCTGCAGTCCTCTCCCCTCCCAGCAACTCAATGTCAGTACCACCCTATTTCTTTCATAGCACTTATCCCAATTCTCACTTACCTGTTTACTTGTGTATTTGTTTAATGTTCATCCAGACTACAATTAATGATGATGACAGCAGTTAGTATTTCTTAAGAGCATACAATATACTGTACGTTGAACATTAACACATTATTGCTTTTCATCCTTGCAACAACCCTATGAGCTAAGCTCTAAATAATCATTTGCCCCATTTACAGACAAGGAAACTGAGACAAACAAAGCAGTCACAGCCACCATATAGATGGCATGCCAGGCTCTCAACTTCACTGACAAAAGGAGAGGCACCAGAAACCAAAAATAAAAAATTTAAAAAAAAGAAGAGGCCCTCTCTCTCCACAAACAACACTCCAAAGTATTAGAAGAAGCATCTAATTTATGATAATAGGGGAGGACTTGATCACACCCGTCTCAGTACTGGACAGATCACCGAGGCAACAAACCAACAGAGGAACAGTCAACCTGTCAGATGGAGAGCACAATTCTATGCTTATTAGAGGGGGAGGGGGAAAGGGAGAGATTGGATAAGGCGCATAAAGAAAAAGTATGATTTGTAACAATGAATATGATAATTTTAAAAAGAAAGAAAAGAAAGTTGGAAAACAGCAAAAATATGATTTGAACCTAGGCAACCTACTAAAGAACCAGCTCTAGGCCATACTGACTCCTACAAAATATGAAGCTGAACTATCAACTCCAAAAGGGCAGGATTTGTGATTTGTGCATTACTGTATAGCACAATATAGCACCATGCAAAATACTGTTTAACACTTGCCTAAGCCAGAGGCTTATGCAAACAACTGGCCAATGAAAATCAACATAGGAGTTCTTCAATATGTTTATAGTACTGAAATCAACCAAGTGCTTTCTAGCATATGGAGTCATTTTATTTAGAGTCTCGTTTTTATAAGATTATTTTATGTGCTGTATTGGAGATAAAATTATGTCTGTAACTATCCCAAAGTTGAGATCTGTCTAACTTTTCTACTGTTTCCTTGTCCTCCAATTATTCTAAGTTAATGAGGCTCTCCATTTATAATTTTCAGGTGTTTTTTTTTTTTTTTTCCTTTTTTTGTCTTTTTCATGACCGGTAACAGGATCGCAACCCTCAGTGCCATGCCCGTACCGCGACTGGCTTTTTCCTTTTTTTGTCTTTTTCATGACCGGTAACAGGATCGCAACCCTCAGTGCCATGCCCATACCGCGACTGGCAATGGGATGGCAATGGGATAGCAACGCTCGGTGTCGTGCCCACACCGCGCTCAACCAGTGAGCGGACCGGTCTCTATATGGGATCCGAACCCTCGGCGGGAGCGCCGCCACGCTCCCAAGCACCGCATTCTACTGAGTGCGCCACCGGGCCGGCCCAATTTTCAGGTTTTAAGGGGCTGTAAATACCAAAAACAGAAATATAATCCAGAAAGCTTACACTAAAAATCCATCAGGCAAAAATGCAAGGTCAAGTTAGCGTTACTGAAAACACACACAACTCTAACTATATTTCTAAGGTTCATTCATCCAACAAATGTTTAGCAAGCACCTCTATGTATCAGGCACTGTTCCATGAACTGAGGTGAACGAAATTGGCCAAGTCCCTATTCTCATGAAGCTGCATTCTAATAGAATGATTATGTTAGGTGTATATAAGTGTGATGCAGAAAAGAGAGATCAGGAGATTAAGAAGGGTCACTATTAGGCTATTTTAGAAAGGATGTTAAGGAATGAACACTTTGATAATATGACTTCTGAGCAGAGACCAGAATGAAAAGACTGGAACTTAAGTTCTATGATTCTTAAACTTTTTTCAAGTTTGCACTGAAATATGATAACTTCTTCCCTTTACAAATAGGGGAACTCCCTGAACAGGTTCTAGAAGGTAAGGATGGGGCCATGATCAGCTGTGGGGATGAAATGTTGAGGAATTAATTGATCTTCCCTAGTAAAGCTTTCTGTTTGCAACAGGCGATGAATTTTTTTATCTTAAAAACTGAAGAATCTCAAAGGGTTATAATGTGCCTCCTCTCTCCCTGCTACCTTCAGAAGGAAAAGTTATTATATCCATTGTCTAAAGGTAGAGATGAAAGGAACTGCTTAATTTCGCAACTACTAATTATCAGAGGAGGAAGTATTCAGTTTTGAAAATATTAATTGAGCAATGGCAAGGAATATGGGACAAAGATTGGCCCATAATTTTAGATTTTTTTAAAAAAAAAAGAGCTAAAGGAAGAGAATGGTGCTTAAGGTAATTTATTCATTTTATATGGTAAATGTTGAGATTTACTCATTACAACATTTCTTTATGATAAGTTTACAGAATTTTTTCTGATATACTTTACCTTCCTGAAACCACCAGAGTTCCATCATCAAGTAAATAATCCTTCACATTCTGAGGAAGTGGAAGAATGACACTAAAAAAATAAAAAACACACATACCAAAAACGGCATCATTTTAAAAGACCAACCATAAGCAGAGAAAATAATTCCATACTTGATTAATTTTTGAAGGATTTGTTCTCTTTATTTTAACATGAAGTAGAAAATGTTAATGATGTACATTTAGTAGAAGCAGACTAGGAATTAGAATAATATAAATAAATTTCACGTAATTACCACAATTGCCTTTGTGGTAAAACAAACAAACAAACAAACAAACAAAACCCAGCCAAATCCAAAGAACCAGATAGAAATCACAGTACAAACAAACAAACAAAACCCAGCCAAATCCAAAGAACCAGATAGAAATCACAGTACAAAAGCAACAAGCTCAAAAGAATTCTGAGAGAGCACAATGATTCCAAGTCTAAGAAATCTGAGATCAGCAGGTATTTGCAGCAACACACGAAATGCAGCAAAACAAGCCAGGAGATTAACAGCATTTGGCCACCTTCTAAGGTAAAGGGCTGAAGTAGACTCAAGATCTGGAAGCCACTCTTTGGTTGGCAATGAGCACACATGGCTAAGTATTCACAAAATGTTTGGATGTGTTTTGGTGGCATTCTATTAAACTAATCACCAGAGACAGAAAGCTATTTAACTTGGCATGCTTTAGCTTAATTTGTTTCAGGGAATCATAATTAACGATGGTAAAATCATAGTTGAAGTCACTTAAAAACTTATGGGATAATTTGTGTTTCATCCTCTTATAATAAATCATCAAAAATTCCTGACACAGATACCTAAGAGCAATGCTATTATTGTGATCTTGTGGTAAATATTTTTTAAAAAGTGAAAAAGATTACAGCCTGCTTTTAGAGAGTTGATAGAACATCATTGACTTATAATATGCCTCATCTACTTACCAAACAAGTTTTTTGGCACATTACAAATTATTTCTGTGCACAGAAAAGATTATTCATAGGCTACTTCGGTTTTAAAAATTACTATTTGATTTATCAAAGTTACAATTTCACATTCAAAAGCCTAGTTCTTCCTAGCTTTAGAACTTCAACTAACAAATCTAATTATTCTGTTTGTAAATCTACTAAATTTTAACCAATTTCAAGTCAGCCTTTACGACTTAAAAGTCTCTTTAATGACTTATACTCTATTTATAAAAATGCATTTAATTTTCTTTTTAAATGTCTACTGTCTCATTACAAATAAGCCTTCCCAAGCATTAAACTCTTAAAAAGCTAACAAACAAAACTATAAGTAAAATGAATCAAAGGTTCTTGCAAACATTCCAATACTATTTAGGAATTTGAAATTTTTTCTTATACATTTTAACTTACAATTTAAACCGACTATACGATTTTTAAAGAATATATCCAATTTTTATTGACTAAAACCATTATTAATCTATTACTGAAATATTGGCTAACAAAATCAGATATTCTATTAGCAACTTTTTTTAAATTGACAGATAAAACTGTATGTATCTATCGTGTACAACATGTTTTGAAGTACAGACACTGTGGAATGGTTAAACCTAGCTAATTAACAAACGCATTACCTTGCATAGTTATAATTCTTGTGGTGCGAGCACTTATCCCTTCTCTTAGTTTTTCAAGAATACATTGTATCTTCGTTAACTATAGTCACCATGCTGTAAAACAGATCTCACAAACTTATCTCTCGTGAGCGTAATTACGTATCCTTTGACCAACACCTTCCAAATACCCCCTCCCCAGAGGGGGCGGAGAGCAATTAAGTCACCCGTTGAGCTAGTCAGTGACAAAGCCCAGACTACCCAGTTCTCCAGATCACCCAGCAACTCTGGCAATTCCAAAAGTAGCAATGGTGAACTTCCAAGCCTAAACTAGTTCACCCACGCCTCCGACCTACCCTCCTACCTCCCCTAGCACACTCCCTAACTCGCAATGGGACGCACTGATCTACTTTGCTAACCTCCCCACTTCAACCACCATGAGGAAGTCGACATCTCGACACTGTCGCTCCCGTCTGGTCAATATAAGGCCTGCATTCCTTTGATGGAGACAGGATTCGCCCGTGTCGCAGTTCCCTTTTGCCAGTCGCCGCGGCGTAACCCCTCCCCTCTCACCTCTTGATGGTAAGGCTTCGGAAGAGCGGGTACCACGCGGAGAACTGACAGTGCAGCACATGCTCCTTCTTCATCCTCCAGCTGCCACCGCCGCTGCCTTTCCCTCTCCTGCCAGCGCTCTCCCGGAACCCCGGGCTCCGGTCCCGGAAGTGCCCGCCGAGCTGTTTTGTTTCAAGGACTCTTCCGGTCCATAAAGCAAGGAGGAAGTAACAGGAAAGGAGGCGGAGAAGGAGGCTCGTAGGTCATACACACACGCACACGCAAACAAAATGAGTTTTGGTCCCGAAAGAGGAATTGCGGAAGTGTTGAGAAAGGAATTTTAAGAAGTTTACGGCTCGGCTTTCGCCGTAGACGCACACTGACCCGGAAAGTAATCATCTAAAGCCAGGTCAGCGGCGGGGGGGGTAGGGGGAGTTCTACGGGTGCCGGGAGGAGGGCGGGCGCACATCCTCTTAGCACCGCGAGGGGCGCCGGTGTCTCCAGCCGTGGCACCGGCATCTGCTGAGACTCCTGCCTCGGGCTCGTCCTTTTTTCGTCCACTTTACCTTCTTCACGCCACACCTTGGAGTAGGTGACTGGGTGCGGGCCAATCACCGATCGTGGTCTCTCGGGGGAGGAGAGGACGAGGGCGGGAGCGTGCCGAGCTGGCGCGGGCAGTGCGGGCAGCCGCGCGCGTGGCTCCAGATTGCTGCTGGGCTCGTGGCTGGGCACGCCAGGGGGTAACCGCTGCGGGGGCGCCGGAGGAAAGCCGGGGATGGGGGTGGAAGAGTCTGGGCTACGCAGAGTGTAGAGAGCGGGGAACGCCACAGTTAAATGTTAGAGCGTAGTGGTTGAGGCATCAGCAAGGGAGAATGCTGAATTCCTGGGTGAGGGTTTTGAGAGACGGAGGGAAGGAATCCCGCCTGTTCGGTCCTGGGGTGTTCGACTTTGGGGGTTAAAGAGGAGAGGTAAATTTGAAAAGCAGAGGAAAGAGGAGAGTTATCTTCTTTGAGCGTCAGGTTCATGTAGTCCGGCCCCGCGAAAGTTACCATTCAGGGAAAATACAGCCAGATTTTTATCAGTAATCCCGCAATGAAGGAATCCCAAACCTGGAGGAATTCTCATCGAGCTTGCAATATCATTTTTTCCCTACTCCCCTTCCCTACTTTTATCACCCTACAAGGTTCAGTTTTTTTGTTTTTGTTTTTTTTTTAATAGTGAGAAATCACTAAATCGCTAGCTGCTGAGAAACGTAATTAAAACCTATGGTAATTATTATAATTACAAGCCTTGGGCTTGTCTCAGGCACCTATGTCTGAAGGCGTACGTATTATTTCCTTCCAATTGCACGCTCTTAGTGGTCCACCTAAGTAATTTTGAGTTAGAAAGATAACGCCACTAACTACGGGCCTCTTTAGATAGGTATTCCTTAGGATAACAGGATCCGCTCATATTTGAAGTCCCGGTCCGGTACGGGCGCGACACTGAGGGTTGCGTTCCGTTGCCGGTCACGAAAACAAGACAAAAAGGAAGAAAAAAAAAGAATATTATCTTTTAAGGGCCGGCCCGGTGGCGCACTGCTACAGTGCGCCGCTTGGGAGTGTGGTGGCGCTCCCGCCGAGGGTTTGGATCCCACAACAGACCGGTTCCTGCTCACTGGCTGAGCGAGGTGCAGACGCAGCTCCGAGGGTTGCGATCCCGTTGCCGGTCCCAGTCCGGTACGGGCGTGACACTGAGGGTTGCGATCCGTTGCTGGACACGAAAAAAAAGACAAAAAGGAAAAAAATAATAATATTATCTTTTAAAACATGAAAATTTTAAGTTTTATGATTATAACCAAAATTATTAAATGTAACTGTACTAATTATGTGGTTCTTTGTTCCTTATAAATCAAGTTCTTTTTCTGTGTAATTATTCTGACAGAATGTAGAATGGCATCCTAAAAATGCCTGGTTTGATGCTTGACTTTAACAACACAATAATTATTTCTGGAAATTAATTGATCCCCTTCCCATTTTTTTCAAAGTGCCTTTGTTGATTTCTCTATTCAGTTGTTAAACTGTTCCAACGGCCTGACCCTCTTTTGTCAATCAGAATTATTTGAGCGCCTACATCTTTTATTCAATTAAGCACTGCTGGTGTTTGTAATACTCAGCTTTTACCAGGGAGATACTCACCAACATAGAATTTCTTATTTTTGCTTCACTTTGCATCCTCAAATTGCAGGAATTCAGGTGTGATAGTAACTGAATAATGAGCCTGGATACAAACTCCATAGCCTGGCTATGAGTTCTCAGCTTAACTTCTTGAATTCATAGCTCCCATTTAACTTACCTAACTGTTGTAACTAATACTGAAATACCCAAATTTGTGAAAAATTAATCACTTATCTTTCTCCCCTTCAGTGAAGGGATGTACGTGCTGCCTAACCAACCCCAAAACTAGCTTATATAGAAACAGGAATTTGTGGCTTGCCAGTTATGGTTGTGTGCTGTTTGCCTGCAAATTTTGGGGGGAATAGGTCAGGGATCTAGCCCAATCTGTGTGTGCCCTTAGAAATGGAGGTGTGCAGGGAAATGTTGAAAACGACAGAGCTTGCCAAATGCTTGATTTCTCAACCTTGCCCCGGTCAGTGTCTCAGACTTTCTTCCTGTGGTTCCCTCTAGTTGGAATCCTTTCCCTGCATCATAGCTTAATATCAAACTACCTTTAAAGTCTTTTTCTCACTACCTCCCAAGTGGATGTGATTTGTTCTTCCTTTAAAACACCCTGGTATTGTGTTATCTCTATGGCAGGCTTTCCCCTTTGTTTGCTGAAGTGTAAGGTGCTCAGGGCAGGAACAGTGGTCAGTCTGTGCTGAGTGCTGTACATTTCAGTTGCCTGTGCCCATGAAGCTAGTTAAGGATTTCTGCCTGCCACTGTACAAGAAGTCTAAGAATCCTGTGACATTTTTCCTCACTATAGTTCACTGTGTCCTGGAAGGGTACACATCTGACACATCGTAAACCTCCATTGCTCAGACTAAACTGAGTTAAAATGGCTTATGTGAATTTTAAAAGTTTGCAACTTTGATTAAAGATAATCATAAATGAAACTGTAGAACACTCAGCATTATGTACATGTGTATTTTTAATAACATACACATTGGTAGTATGTAGATGACCTTAAATTCTAGTTAACGTAGTAGATAAAATTCAAATTAAACTTTGCTTTTAAATCTTGAAATAGCATCGAGTCAGTTTAAGAAGGCTCCATCACAGTAGCGGAGACAGCAGAGTATGAAGCAAGGAACTGAAATCTCATTTCAGTTTCTTTCTGCAGCGTGTTGCTTGTATTGACAGTCCCCCAAATGGCACCATTTGGCTTCTGTTTTTGAAATGGTGCTAAAAATAATACTTCTTTTCTGTTTCATTACTATTTTTGAGGTGCTTTTATAGTCCTGAAACATTTTGGGAATCTTGTAGTAAAGAATACACTTTTGGCTGGCTGGTTAGCACACTTAGGAGAGCATGGTGCTAGTAAAGAATGTACTTTTGAAATCAGCCATTAATCACTTTTTTGTTATTTATACTGTCCATGGATTGCTACAGAATTCTGTTTCCCCCTTGGGCTGATTGCATTCCAAGTAGTTACCCTAGGGAAGCCTAGCCCTGTTTGCCACTTTTGTGGGGGTTGGGGGTGGCAATTTATGTCTATAGCATATTTTTTATTATTTCCCTAGCTCTCTAACATTCTAGCTTAAATATTTTTTAATATAGTCTGTTTGAAACAACTCTCTTATAGCTTAAAGTGCTGACAGAAGATCTTTCAATCTTTAGACTGCTTTGTAATTGAGTTTAACTGTTAAATAGAATAGTAGATGAGGAACTGTCCTTTAGAATAGAATGTGTTTTTTCACCTTTTTGGCAGTCAACAATCCCTTTGGAAATCTGAAGAAAGCTATAAAGATATATACATAAGGGGACCTAGCAGATAACTTAAATGCCTTAAAGTTTTATATGACTCTAAAGGGACTAGTTGTCCCTTTGCCACTAAAGATATTCATATAGGACTGGAGGGAAGCTCACTCTTCTCTTCTGTGTTATGTGCTACTGACTGCTTTGGGGTTTCTGGGAATCCAGGTTAAGTGCCCTTTTCATAGAGGAAAGTAGAGGTTATCTAGTTCTTCTGGTGGTGATTATACTTTTCAGATTGCAGTTCCCTGCTTTTCAGAAGTTTGGATATGCATGGAAACATTTGGGGTTAGAGTGTCGCTTTTTAAACAGAGGTAGAATTTAACTTAATCCAAGCATTTTGTCCCTTTCTAGACAGATTATTTTGTGTACTAATTTGGGCTGCTTGGTTGACTAGAAGTTATTTTCTAAGTGTTAGCATTAGAGCAAAGGAAAGTTTCCTTCTCTGATGCAGATGTTATTAATAGAAGAGAATGGATACCTAAAAGATAAATATCTAAGTAAAGTTCTTTTACCTAGGTGTAGAACATGCAGGTAGAGACTGGTAGCTGGGTGTTAGTTTTCTACCTTTGGTTAGTTTTCATCTGGGTCAGCATGTTGTTTTGATGCCTGTAATAATGTAAACTATTCGTCTCAAGCAATGCCAGTGAAAAGTTTACCTAATAAATTACCATGTGGGATACTTTCAAAGGAGTAACTGCCTGTTCTCTTAGGGCTCTAGGTTTCAATATGCTAAATGACTGTCCTTAAATATTTAAATATCTGTGTGGCTCCTTTATTTTGGAGTCTCTGTTCAGATGTCACTAAATTAAAGAGGCCTTCCCTGATCACTCCGTACAGATTACTCCGCCCACCTCTCCCACACACATTTTCCGCACTCTTTTGCTCTTCTTTCTCCATAAAACTTGGAGTCACCTGACATACAGTTTACATATTATTGCTCCCTTTTTCTCCCTTTTTCCCTTTCTCCTATCCAGAAAGTGATCCATGAGGGCAGGGCCTTTGTCTCTTCTTCCCACTGCTTCGTTCCTAGCACCTTATTTCATCTTTAATGGTTCTCCCACAGGGTGTTCTAGCCAGGACACCTGAAGTAGTTAATCAGAGCTTTGATTTTTTAAGGTACTTTACAAATATTAATCATTTGTTGTTGGTTGTACTTTAGGATGGGGAAACTTGCTGTCTGGCATAAAAATTGCAGATTTGCTGTGTAGTATAATTATCACTTTGGGTCCCAGAAGAAACAGCATAAAGACACTTTCCCTCTAAGAGAGTTGATGCTTGGTGGTCTATATTTTCTCTGAAGCTAAAGTTAGGAGATGGGGTAGGTTAGGGAACTGTGAAACTTAAGAATAGTGAAAGGTTAGAATAGTGTTCAGAAATGTAGATAAGATACCAAGGAAATGGAAAATAGGAATGAAAAAGATAAAACAGGATCAGTTCAGGAAGTCCAACAGCTGAGTAACAGTTCTTGAAAGAGAGAAGAGAAAATGGAGGGGAGGAAATTAGTGATTCAACGAAAGTTCCCTATAGAGAGCATACTGTGGAGTATCCAGATTGAAAGAACTCCCTTGAGTGCCCAGTACGGTAGCATCAACACGAAGACATAACTGCAGGCTTCCAGAGAAAGATAACAGGTCACATGGAAAAAGGATCAAGAGTCAAAATAGCTTCAGACTTCTCAACAGCAACACCAGAACAAGACACCACCAGAAGAGATGCCTCCAAATTTTGAATAGAAAATTGTTTTCAGCCAGTAGTTCCATGTGCAACCAGATTAACAATCAATTATGAGGGTAGAAAAGAGATTTTCAAACAGGCAAGGGATCCAAAGACAAGGGAATAAACCAGGAAAGCAGTAGTAGCACGTAACAAATGGGATGGGGCCGTCTTTTCATAACAGACCTTAGTGCTAGTTGACACTTTCTCTGCAACTGTGACTGTGATACATGTCGAAAATGAAAAGTAAATGAGACACAATAATGTGAATGTATTTAATGCCACCAAACTATATGCTTTAAGTGATTAAAATGGTAAATCCATTTACCACAATTTTTAAAACGTGAAGCATGATAAATAGGTAGAAATAGCTGGCACAGACAGCTCTTAAAAAGTTTAGCTGTAAAAGGCTGATAGGGGACAGTAGCTGAGAAGTGGGTGTGGAGAGTGGTACACAGTTGTCCCTCAGTATCTGCAGAGAGTTCCAGAACCCCCCACAGTTACCCAAATCCAAGGATGCTCAAGTCCCTGATATAAAATGGTTTAGTATTTGCATATAGCTTACACATATCCTCCCGTGTACTTTAAATCATCTCTAGATTACTTATAATACCTAATGCAATGTAAATGCTATGTAAATAGTTGTTACACTGTACTATTTTTTTTTTTTTTACTTTTATTATTCATGGTTGGTTGAATCCACAGTTGGGGAGGGCTGACTGTACATCTTTCTACTGTTTCCCGTTGGAAAGAGTTTAAGGCTTGGAGTTAGAAAATCTGATTAGAATGTATCTAAGTACCCAGTGCATGCACAGTAGGAACTTGGTTACCATGGGCTGAATCTAACTGGGAAGGCTTTAGGGTCTTTCCTGGATGTTTCCTGGGGCCTTTGCATTTATTTCTCTTTTGAAACTGCCCCAGATGGTCACATGAGAGAAGCAGCATTGATGGCAGATAAATTTTTTGCCATTTAAGTACTTTGACTAGTGGCCTATGGGCAGATGTTTCATTCAGAAAAATAATTTTAGCCTAATTGAATCTTATTATTTTACAGTGTGCACTTCTCACCTGAGGACTGTAAAGACTAATTAGTTTGAAAATGGAGACCCAAGAACCAACGGATTCTTCTCAGAATATCAGACAGTCTATTATTTCAGAGGAGGTACAACTTGTTTTTCACTTTTCTTTCCCCTCCCCACATAAATTTGAGTTTAAAGAAATGTTTAGGCTATTTGTTGTTTCAAATGATTGTTTTTCATACTTGAAGACAGTTTTAAAATATTTTTCCAACTTCCTTTTACAGACTCAGGCCCATTTTGCTCTTGTGTGGGAACAGTATTATATCCCTTTTAATTATATGTGTCAGTGAAATTGAAACCATTAGTGGATTTTGGCTCTTCATTAAAAAATTCTTAATTCTTATTAAAAATTTCCCTGGATAGAAGAATAAATAATATGTGGGTTTTAGGACTTAGACATTTTATATTTAGTTATCACATCTTAGCTGTTTATGTTTCCAACATGTATGTTTAAGAATAATAAAAACCTAAATTATCTCAATTCCAGTGAGTTTTAGAACTAATGTACATCTTTTTTGTTATTCAACTTAGTTTTTTTAAAGTCTCCTCTTACAAGAATTGTTGCAATGGTTATGTTTTAAATACTTCGTATTGAAACGCTGATCTTGAGACCTTTCGGGAATTTCTTTTTTATTTAAAATCGTTCCATGTTGTCTGTGAACAGATCCGCTAATTATTAGGTTGCTGCTGGCAAGAAGTGAAAGATAGGATAGTAAGAAAAAGGCTACTGCTTTACGTACACAGTGAATCTTTCCTCTCAGTTCAGTATAGTGCCATAGGTAAGTTGGTCCTCATAACCAAAACTCCTCAGTATCTAGACAGAACAATCCTGGGGTCTCTGTCTCAGTTTGGGTGGGAAACCCATGTGTCATGATGGAAAATCCAGTCATTGACCTGGTTTCCCCACAGTCAGTTTTCCTATGTAATCGTTGTCAGTGAAATGCCACTGATGAATTTTTACATAAGCACACCTATGTGGCTAGCACCTAGATCAGGGGACAGAACATTAGGAGCACCCCACAGGACCCCTCACCCCTTGTGCTCCCTCTCAACTGCACCCACTCCCCTGATCCCCAGAAGTTTTTAGACTATCATTTCTTTTTACCTCTCAGAATTACCTCAATAACTACAAAAAGAAGCAGAACTACCCTGTAGTAAAAACAACTTTGAATACTTACTCTGAACTGCAAACTTGTCCACAAATTATTGGGAGGGAAACCTGATTATTGGGAGGGCCACACAGAGAAAATTTGAAAGAAGAAAAACCACTTTTAGATGAAGACCAACTTGTTTTGAAAGTTTCCCAACCTTTTATCTGATCTCCTTTTAGTTAATTGCAGAAGGAGATTGGGTCAAGCTTGAAAAAACAACTTACATGGATCCTACTGGTAAAACTAGGTAAACTTTTTTTTTTTTCTCTTTTAAAATGTTTAGTATTTTGGTTTTTCAGGGTCTCTGTCAAGTGTTTGGCATAAACTTTGATATTTTCTCATTGTAAACTCTATTTTAAATAATCTAATGTAGCTGTTTTTCCATTGTTAGAATGTTTGGATAGTTTATAATCTCTAAATAAAATTGGGTTGTAAATTTGTTACAATAACTAATTAGGAATCTATATTAACACCATTCTCTCTAAGCAGACTAGTGTGGACCTAAAACTTTTGGGCGAAGCCTAATTTAAGTTGACGAGGTGGCAGAATAGTTAACAATACATTTTGCTTCCTACTAGTAAATTCATTTTTAATCTCTAAATTAGAATTAAAGAGAAAACAAAAACATTGTTGGTTTTGAGGTAAAACTTACATGTTTACACCTTGCTCATGGAAGGTAAACTGAGGGAAAAAAACGCTTAGTGTAAAGCATATTTCACAATATATATATCAATAGCCATAAAGATACCCTTTGAACTAATAATTCCACTTCTGAGAATGTGCTCTGGAAATTAGCTTTGACATTAGATTTGTGCATGAAAAAAAGGTTCATCAAAATTTTAAAAGGCAAAAATCGTAAGCAACCCAAACATCTTAAAAATAAGGAACTAATTGTTATAGTGTATTCACTTGGTAAAATCTATGAAGCCATCTTAATAGCAGATTATGAAGACAACCTAGCAATATGGGTAAAGTTAATAAGTTGGTTACAAAAGAGAAAGTTATATACAGTCATCCCTCGGTATCTGGGGGGGATTGGTTCCAAGACCTCCCAAGGATATCAAATTCCACAGATGCTGAAGTCCTTGATATAAAATGGTGTAGTATTTGCATATAGCCTATACATATCCTCCTGTAATACTTTAAATCATCTCTAGATTACTTATGATACCTAATACAATGTAAATTGCTATGTAAATTCTTGTTATACTGTATTATTTAGGGAATAATGACAAGGAAAAAAAGTCCATGCATGTTCAGTGCAGACCATTTTTTTTCAAATATTTTCAATTTGCGATTGACTGAATCCACAGGTATGGAAACATGGATGTGAAGGGGGCAACTATATATGCTTCTTGCTTTTTAAACTCTGCCAAATAATATGTAAGAAAAGGCTAGAAGGAAAACTAGCAAAAAAAGAAAAAAATAGCTCTATGATTAACCTTTTTTCTGTTTTCCAAATTTTCTGTTTAGTAATCTTTTAATAGTATAAACTGAGAAAACAATAATGTGTTAAAATAGATTTAAGTATTTACTTAGTTAACTATAATATAAAAAGGAATAACAGAATGAGAAAATATGAAACATAACTATATTTAGTATCCAGATTACATGATACAAATGTATTAACATGAAAATTCCATTCACTAGGTAATCAAATAAGAGTGCATGCTTGCTTTGTGAGGAAAAACACCTATCATCAGTGTAAAATACATGGACTTGCCAATAATTTAAACAACTTTTGTTAACTCTTATTTAAAACGTTAGGTTGGGGCCGACCCCGTGGCGCACTCGGGAGAGTAAGGCACTGGGAGTGCAGCGACGCTCCCGCCGCGGGTTCGGATCCTATATAGGACTGGCTGGTGCGCTCACTGGCTGAGCGCGGTGTGGGTGACACCACACCAAGGGTTGTGATCCCCTTACTGGTCACGAAAAAGTCAAAAAATAAATAAATAAAATGTTAGGTTGAGTGTGATACGTAGAACTAAATTTGAAATATTTAGGGGATAGGGGCCAAACCCAGTACAGAAATGTGGCAGGGCCCAAGCCTTAGGGAGCATGATATGTTCAGGTGTATTTATATTTATGAAAATATATACAGAGATTAGAACCCAATTTAGAGTGATATAGTTTGGTTTTCTTCCTATAAAATTAAGTTTATAATACAAATGTAGCCCTTAACACTAGTCTAAAGAGTACATGTTGGTTCACACCAGCTCATCCCTTCACCTGACTAGTCGTCTTTCCTTCCAGCCTTTCTTAATCAGGGATGTGCAGCAAAATCATTTGGGAAATTTTTTTTTTTTTCTTTTTTTCTGACCGGTAAGGGAATCGCAACCCTTGGCTTGGTGTCGTCCGCACCGTGCTCAGCCAGTGAGCGCACCAGCCATCCCTATATAGGATCCGAACCCGTGGCCTGGCGCTCCCAGCACTGCACTCTCCTGAGTGAGCCACGGGGTCGGCCCTTGGGGAATTTTTTTCAAAATACTCATGTATAGGTCTCACTTCCAGAGTCTATTTCAATAGTTTGGTACTTTTTTTTATTGGCAGCTGGGAATCCAAACCCTTGACCTTGGTATTTTCAGCACCACACTGACCAAGTGAGCTAACCAGCCAGCCCCAATTTTTTGCTACCTTTTTTTTTTATTTCAGTAGTTTGGGAGTGGGCTCTAAAGTCTCTTCCAAACTACCATATTTATACAGCTTGTTGATAGCATGTTCTCCTACATTCTTTCATATAGAGGTCTTCTCTCCTGGCCTCCAAAGAGATCTTATGTAAAGCATTAATATTTCATACTAGAATGTCAAGCTTTGAAGAATAAATCTCTGTACTTTCCAGAAGGCTATGATTTATAAATTTATAAAATGTGCTATTACCTGATATAAAAGCATGTATATGAAAGGGATAAAATAGCAGCTAGAGAATACTTTGTTCCACTGTCTCATTTACGGAAGAGGATATGGAATTAATTTTAGAAGTGTGAAAATATGCTGGCGGTGGGCCGCCTGGTGGCGCACTGCTACAGTGCGCCACTTGGGAGTGCGGCGGCGCTCCCGCCGAGGGTTCGGATCTCACATACAGACCGGCCGCTCACTGGCTGAGCGAGGTGCGGGCGCAACACCGAGGGTTGCGATCCCGTTGCTGGTCACAAAAAAAGACAAAAAGTGAAAAAAAAAAATAAGACAAAAAGGGAAAAAAAAAAAATATGCTGGCGGTATGTCCCATTATTGACATTCAAGATAGTGCTGAAGTCATCCTTTCTACCTCTTATGTTGGTGGACTAGAGGGAAGAAAGCAAAACATGCTTTCCTATAACAGAGGAGACTGAAAAATGGGGTAGCCTAACTGGAAGCAGAATTCTAAAGCTAGAAGACGTTTTTGAGATAACATGCTCTTAATTCTAAAGTTTTACAAATGAGAAAATAGTCACCATGGGTTGTAGCTTTGGGTTTTGCTGGTAAGCAAGTAGAGTCTCTGGTTCTCTGACTTCCAATCAAGTGAACATCTCAGAGTCCCTTTAAGATTGTTGGAGCTCTTGTGGGGCATTCCCATTTGTATTTCTTACAAATCCATTTATATTTTATTGCTCATAATTTATGGGTAGTTACTGCTTGTTTATTTCATCTTAATCATTATAGTGATGCTACTCTTTTGTTTCCCTTATTCCTAGTGTATTTGGGATGGGACCTTCAGTGCTTTTCCTAGCACTATCTTCTTCAGTCTTTAGGACTGACCTTAAGAGGCAGCAGAGAGAGCTATGCCAAAAGGTGTTTTGTCTCTTGCAATCTGTATTTACTTATTGGGATTGCTTGTTGGTTGGCTTCTTGCTACTAACAGGAATGTTGAGCTGCTGTGAGTTGTCATAGTAGTCTGTTTGATTTTCATAGTATTCATGTTCACATATTTGCCCTTTAGAATTTGGGTACAATGCTGAAAGATCTACAATTTGCAGAGTTTTGTTTTGTTTTAATCAGATAAGATACCTGAAAATGTTTTTATAGAAATGTGGGAAAGTCTAAACCTTAGGGATAGCCAGGATAAAAAGTATGAGCAAAAGGATTCTTAGTACATCTTGTAACTCTTGCTACTGGGATGCAGATGTTGACTCCTTTCTTACCCCAATCCCAGAGCCACCCACATGTCTTACTTCCTTTAGAATAGATTCTAAAATTGTTTGCTTCTCCACTCCTGTCTCTTACCACTGCTTTTTTCTTTTTTAGGGATAAGAGAGGGAAGGGGCAATTTTCCTCTTATGTCTTTCCTTCTTTAAACAGCATGATTTTTTCAGTAACTGGATTTTCTGTAAAACTCTGCCCAATGCTCCAAGGAAAGGAAGTAGAACAGCCCAGATGTTACCAAAATACTTAAGTGGGTAACAGCCAGAAACAAGTAGCTAATACCAGGAATAAAACCATAAAAGGGAGCAGGAATTTGCTGTTATTCACCTCACTTTTTCCTCCAGGGACCATTTTTCCCCCTTAGATAAGATCTCAACATGCAAAGTCAAGTACTCACCTAAATATAGTTTGGTTTTCTTCCTATAAAATTAAGTTTATAATACAAATGTAGCCCTTAACACTAGTCTAAATTTAATAATTCTTTGATTAATAAATGGGAAGGTCCTCTTCTTAAATTGTGTATTTTAGGTTGCATATTTTAAAAATCCAAATTATATACTTAACACTAGTCTAAATTTAATAATTCTTTGATTAATAAATGGGAAGGTCCTCTTCTTAAACTGTGTATTTTAGGTTGCATATTTTAAAAATCCAAATTATATAAAAATTATCTTAATAGTTCACATTGTACACAGTATACTTTGTTCTTAGAGATAAGGCTGGAATTTTTGTAGGAGCTTGATTTGGATCCTCTGCTCAACAGCCTTTACAGCTGTAATCACAGCTGTGCTGCTCGTCCATAGACTTCTGATCCAAACTCAAGTATTCTGAGAAAGCTCACCAGCCTTTCTATTTAGATGGCATTTAGAGGTAGGGTGGCAATAGTTTCCTTTGTAATTTTCAGAAACTGTAGGAAAGCACAATTGACTTTTTTATACAGATCTTTGTTGTTGTGTTCTTCTTGACCGGTAGCATTAGTACATTTGCATGCATTGCATTTATGAAGTTCTAGCTGTACACAGGAAACCTAAGAGCATTCTCCTGTTTGGCGCTAATGATTTTTTTTCTTCTCTGCCTGAATAGAACTTGGGAAACAGTGAAACGTACAACCAGGAAGGGACAGGCTGCTGATGGTATGAGTGCAAACCTTTTATAAAGGAAGTTGGTACACAAGATTGTGGGAGGGTTTTTAATGTAACCAAGACCTCAGAGCAGAGTTATCTTCAATTATGATCTTTTATCTTTAATCCTACTAGTTTTTATAACTTTTTATCTTTTATCATATTATATGTGTATATCCTATTTATACTTTTTTTTTTTTTTAACTTTTATCACATTAGTTTTTGCAGTGCTATGTAACTAAATCGAACTTTACTCATAAGTAACTTCCGGCTCCTGTTATCTAAGCTCAGAACAGTGTTTGTGAGGGGAAGATGTACTAATGTTTATAGCCAAACATAAATCAATATAATTTGAAGCCGCACAGTGTGTCTAGGTATTTTATGACTTGTAGAAGTCCCTTGTATTCTGTTCAAAGGTTTTTCCCTTTTATTTTTCCGTGTTGTTTTGGTTTCTGTTTTTATTGGAAGCAAAGAGAGTAGCTGTGCTGCAGCTGCTGTTCTTACTGATGGAAAAGAGTTTAGGAGGACCCAAGTTACTCCTCCTGCATGTTTTGTGTTTTCCAGAATCCAGTGGCTTTTGTTTTTGTTTCTATTTTGTCTTGATTAAGGCCCAAGTAATTTGGGAGAAAAGATCTTTTGCCCTGAAACAGTAAAAGTCAATCTAGCTAGCATATACTACAAACAGTGGAACTTGTTTGCTTTGTTGCTTAAAGGAAGTTCAGAAGCACATAGATCATTGTAATTTCACCAGTGGTCTGGTTGCTGCATGGTGAGAAATGATTCTATGTGGAGGTTAGTGTAGACTAAAACTCTATGTCCTTGACCCTGGGCAAAATGTTACTTTTAGTTTTGATTTCATTTTAAAGAAATGGTTAACAACTAAAATGAGTTTTTTATTAAAAAAAAAAAAATTTCAAACAACATAGAAGTACATGATTTTTTTTTTTATTAAAAAAAAAAAAATTTCAAACAACATAGAAGTATATGATTTTTTTTTTAATTACATTTTTAAAAGAACAGCTTCCAAGGTTAACTGCCAATATTGTAGATTAAGTTAACTTCCTGTTGCTAATGCAAATACAGGGAAGATTTTGGATGAGGAGTTTCTTAAAATTTGGGGTTTTAGTTAGATTGCTGTAAACAAATTGCTAGCATTGCTGACCTTTCATTAGGGATTTCATTTGTTCATTTCTTGGTGACAGGTGTATCAGTTATCCCAGTGCTGCAGAGAACTCTTCATTATGAGTGTATTGTTCTGGTGAAACAGTTCAGGCCACCAATGGGTGGCTACTGCCTAGAGTTTCCTGCAGGTGAGTAACTGAACAGAGGGAATCAAATTGCTTTCCTACATTTAGGGACTGGTGGACTGAGTCAGGGCAAAGCCTGAGAATTGCAGTGCTTAGATCTTTAACACCATGTGGTTGTAACTAAAACAAAACCATTCCGTAGAGAGGCTGCTCCACACGACCAGCCACACTCCAGTGATCTACCAAACCCATGAGGGCAATGTGAGTTGTGGTATGACAGCCCTCCTTTCCATGCCATCCCATCCTCATCTTTGCAACGCTTTCTCTAGCCTCTCTTTGAGTAATTGTGTTCCCTAATTTCTCACCTTATTTCATTTTCTGTCACTAGCAATCTGCCTCTGACAACACATTTACAGTAATAAATAGGTCATACTCTTAACTCCAAAAACCATGAATGGAAAAAGACATCTTGATCTGCCAGATATAAACAGGCCAAGGAAAGTGTCTTCATTTTTTTTTTTTAAGTGTCTTAATTTTAACTAGAGTATTTTTTTTCAGTTGCATAGGAATTAAAGCTATCCAGAATTTAATGTGCCGTATTTATTGTAGGACTTTATTAGATCGTTCCCATCTGAAGAGATAAAATCTCATTTATTTGTCATTAAGGGTTTAGGTTTTGTATTTTTAAAACCGGGCCCATTGTAAGGTAGGGGTAACAAATATTTCTTTCTCATTTACTTGTCATTTTACTGAAGAAATTAATAACACTAAAAGTAACTGACTATGTTTTGGCTATTCTAAGTACTTTGCATTTTTTATATAAATTTTAGAATAAATTTGTTGAAAAAGAAAAAAGTACCTGAAGAGCCTGTATTTCACTTTTTCTTTACTTTTTTGTATATCTTGCAGGAAGAATATGAGTAATCTGAGAGGCTACTCTCTTCCTCCCACTTGGCCTCTCTTTACTCCTTTCTAGCATTTCACTACAGGGCCTCAGTATTTTTCTCTGAGGGAGGAAGGTAAGATAGGCAGTACTGTCACCATCCTGCACAAAAGGAAACAAAAACAACCTACGGGCTTCCTGCACTGTAGTCTCATAGCTAGGTCCAAACCCTGCGCCATTTAGCCGCCACCAAGTTACTTCTCCTTACACATGCTGACCGTGCTGTAGTGTTGAGAGATGGTCATGAAAAAAATCTGTATCTAAGTAAGAGTAACAGACGATACCTATAAGAACCACTCCATCTGCCTAGGGTTTTGTTCCTTTGTCTTTCCTTTTATTTTTCAATTTTTTAAATTTTTAGTCACAAAACAAGTCTTAATACATTTAAAAAGCTAAGATCATAGAAAATATGTTCTCTGACCACAATAACAGAAGGAAATTTAGAAAATTCACAAATGTGTGGAAATTAAACAACACTCTCCTAAACGAACAATGGGTAAAAAATCACAGGGAAATTAGAGAGTACTTTGAGATAAAAATAAAAGCACATCATATCAATTTATAGGGTGCAGGGCTCATGCAGTGCTCGGAGGAAAATTTATACTTGTAAACACCTATGTTAAAAATAAGAAAAATATCAAATCAGTGATGTAAACTTCTACCTTAAGGAAAGAGAAAAAAAAGAGTAGACTAAACCAAAAGCACATAAGCAAATACAAGTAGGAAATAACAAATATTACAACAGGAAATATATGAAATAGGGAATTGAAAAACTAGAGAGAAAACCAACAAAACCGGAAGTCAGTTCTTTAAAAAGATCAACAAAATTCGCAAACCTTTATCTAGACTGACCAAGAAAGAAAAGACAGAAGACCAAAATTAACTAAAATCAGAAATAAAACGGGCATAATTACATTGTCATTATGGTTTTTTGTGGTCGTAAGATTGTTTCTTTCTCTTTCTCATTTGCATTTTTGCTCTATCAGTGAGTTTTGTTCTTTCTTGTGTACTCGTGGTACTGATTAGTATTTTTTAGACTCCAGATGCAAGATGATGCCCTTGAGGATTTCTTGCAGGACTGGTTGTGTGGTGTTCAACTGCTGCAGTTTTTGTCTGTCTGGAAAATACACTATTTCTCCCTCATTTCTGAACAATAGCCTTGCTGGGTGTAGTATTCTTGGCTGGCAGTTTTTCCCTTTTAGCATTTTGAATATATCATCCCATTTTTTTCTGGCCCATAGAGTTTCTGTTGAGAAGTCTGCTGTTAGTCTAATAGGGGCTCCCATACAGATGACTTGACGCTTTTCTCTTGCTTCTTTTAAGATTCTCTCTTTATCTTTGAGCTTTGCCAGTTTGACTATAATGGGTCTTGGAGAGGATCTTTTGGGGTTGAATCTGTTTGGGATATTTGAGCCTCCTGGATCTGAAGGTCTTATGTCTCCCTATACCGAGGAAGTTTTCCATTTTTATTTCATTGAATAGGTTTTCCATGCCGTTTCCTTTCTCCTCCCCTTCTGGAACACCCACGTTTCGAATGTTTGTGCACTTAAGATTGTTAGCTCTCTTAGATTTTCTTCATTTTTAAATTTTTTTTTTCCTTTTTTTTGTCTGCCTGGGTTGTTTTGAAAAGACTATCTTCAAGATCAGGAATTCTTTCTTCTGCTTGTTCTAGCCTGCTGCTTAAGCTATCAGTGTGTTTATTTCATTGAGTAAATCTTTCAGTTTCATGAGTTCTGCTACATTCTTTTTTAAGGTATTAATCTCTTAGTATATTTCCTCATTCACATCCTGGATTTTTTTTCTCATTTCATTATGCTGTCTGAGTCTTCTCATATCTGAGTGACTTTCTTTAAGATAGTTGTTCACAACTCCTTTTCAGTCATTTCAAGGGTTTCCTGCTCTATAGGGTCTGGTGTTTGAAAATTACTGTATTCTTTGGTGGTGTCATATATTCTTGGGTTTTCATATTTCTAGTATCTCTACAATGATGTCTGGTCATCTGGTAGAGCAGATGCTTCTTCTGTTACTCTGGAGTGGGTTTGAGGAGATATTCTCTTCTTTTTCCAGTCTCCACTTGTGACTCCCCATGTGTCAGTGCAGCCAGGTGTCTGTTGGGCCACCTGTATGGATGTGGTGTTTTCGGTGGTGCTACCCTTGGCTCCTGCCTAGGACCTTAGGTGCACTCTCTTGCCTGCTTCTGGGTGGGGGATTTTGCCCTCGGCTCCTGCCTAGAACCCTGGACATGCTCTCTTGCCTGCTCCTGCTGCCTTTTTTCTGTAAATGTTCTGAGCCTCAGTCAGTTTCATCTATACTACTACTTTTCACAGTCCTCTGATTATTCTGATGTAGCTCAAAAACAGCTGTTAGATGAATGAAAGGTTCAAAGAAATCTGGATTTCTCTATCCCGTCTTACAAATGATTTGGACTTCCAGGTCTCATAGATGATGATGAAAGCCCAGAAGCAGCTGCTCTTCGGGAACTCGAGGAAGAAACTGGCTATAAAGGTGACATTGCCGAATGTTCTCCAGGTTTGTGTTGCTTTCAGGTGTGCACTTGCGGACAAACTCTTAAAAATTAACTAAGCAATAGACTCCTCTTGGTGGAAAGGGAATGATTTTGCGGTGTTCTTTATGGTCAAAATTAAGATGACTTTTTTTTCCAGCTAATTCAGTAAAGAAAAATTGTAGATTCGGATTGGCCACCGTATAGAAGTGAATCTCACTTCCCATGAAAGCAAGGTGAATCAAGAAGGATCTGAAGTTTGAGAAGAATTATGAAATTAAGTTGCCTTTCAGAATTTCCCACACTCTAAGCTTTATTACTTACCCACCTCATCCACATGCACACTCTTCACTAGAAGTGGTTTTTTTTTTTTTTTTTTTGGATGTGGTGAAACTGTCAGTACCAAACTTGACCCAGGAACTCTGGGGAAAACATCAGTTCTGTGTTAACTATGAGTCATGTGTCCCATCTTCTTCCTAAGACATTTAAATAGTGAAACAAAGGACAAGAGACTAAACCATCTGACTGGTTTAAGATGATCTGTCACTTCTCTCTGTAGTTGTATGTATGGATCCAGGTTTGTCAAACTGTACCACACACATCGTGACAGTCACCATTAATGGAGATGATGCAGAAAATGTAAGACCTAAGCCAAAGCCAGGTAAGTGTATTGACTATGTTTAAGGTGGTTGAGTTTCATTTTAAATATCTTTTAACTTACCACTAGTTTGATTTTTGATTTATTTAAAGAATGATATAGTCTTTCACTGAAAGAATCAGTCTTTCATAGATATTTCATCAGTACTCTTGCCTGTTTTCTTAATCTTGTGTATTTTAGCATTTTTCTTTCATCACTCATTGTTCTTTATGCTTTTTTTATATAAAAATGTTAAATTACATATTTCCATATTTTCCATATGGAGTTTATTCCCCCTTAGTAATATGTGCCACAGGCTTAACTAGTAAATGGTGAAAAACTTCAAAATCACCCTGGTTTCTGTCTTTGTGTGTACTGTAATATGGCATAAGTAATTGTTAGGGGTAGCAGCTTCTTAAACTCTTCCTTACTGAGTTCTGTATTCAGAGAAGCTGTAAGGAAATTCTTTGTTTTATAATATTTCTTAGCAAGTTTGGATTCCAAAGCTTTAATGCCTTTGTCAATTCCATGTCCCCTTTCCTGCCCCCTCAAAGTGGGTGTTTCTAGACAGTATATACCACAGTAAATCATGTATGAGTGATATTCTTTAATTTCTCACCCCTTCAGTTATTCATATCTGTGTTTAAGTATACCATTGCAGCTAATTTTAAATGCTCAATTTTTGAACTGCAAATATACATATGATATACTGTGGAAAAGTTTGGCAGTTCCCCCCAAAATTAAATATAGAGATATTATATGATCCAGCATTTTCGCTCCTAGGTGTGTACCCAAAAGAACTGAAAGCAGGCACTCAGACACTTGTACACCCATGTTCATAGCAGCATCACTCACACAAGCCAAAGGTGGGAACAGCCCAAGTGTCTATCAACATGTGAATGGATAAACAAAATGTGATCTATACCTACATACAATGGACTATTATTCAGCCATAAAAGAATGAAACATTCTGATACATGCTACAGTATAGATGAACCTTGAAAACACTGTGCTAAGTGAAATAAGGCAGACACAAAAGAGCAAATATTGTGTGAGTTTCTGTTTGGAATGATCAAAAAGTTCTGAAGATGGATCATGGTGATTGTACAACACTGTGAGTGTTAATGCCACTAAATTGTACCCATAGAAATAGTTCAAATGGTAAATTTTATGTTGTGTATATTTTACACCACAGTGTACAGATACCTGTATCTGTAAAAAAAAGATATATACATATACACACACACATATATATAAAACATAATATGCTTTAAGTTTTGCTATTAAACATTTGATTTGGAGAACAATAACTGTACTGTTAGAATTTGTTTTATCGTGTATATAAATTATTAGAGACCCAGGTTTTTGTTAAATTCTTACAGCCTTTTTGATGTGTCTTGCACAAGTCTCCCCATGTATTACCACTCCAGGCCTTGCTAAAATGTTCTCCTTCTGTTTGTTTGCAGGGGAAGGAGGTATGTCATACAGCACCCAGTGGTTGGCCATGTGTATGGTTTAGTATAGTGGTAATGGCTGCAGACGTTTTGGGTTGTTTTGGTAGGCTCTTGTTCTTTAGCTTTGTTTTCACTTGCACTTTGTTTGTTTAGAATTTGTGGAAGTAATTTCTTTACCAAAGAATGACCTGCTGAAGAGAATTGATGGTAAGCATTCTTAAAATTATTACCCAGCTTTCTCTATTTTTTCCTTGTCCCCATCCCCAGCAGATGGAGTACTGTTAACTCCATTTCTTTACCTTCTTTTTCTCATTAAAGTGAATACCTAGAACTGCTATAAAACTGCAGTTGACCAATACTAAATTTTTGGGTGGCATAGACTTTGAAAGTATGAGCAAAACATTTTATGTCAAGTGAAAGCTTTTAGTAGTAGCTTTTTTCCCTACAGAATGGTCAAGATTATATTCCTGCTGACTAGCCAGAACATAGCAATACAGAGGTAATAAATAGGTATCTCTTAGCTTTTCCTCAAGTATGCTAATGTGTTGGATGGTTCTTTATGGAGGATTAAGGAAAATTTAATAATATTCTTTCAACAAATATTTGAGGTATTTATTGTGTACTAAGTGTGATATGTTAATATAATGAACCAAACTAAGATGTGACCCCTAGTAAATTACTGGTCATGTAGTAACATTGTATAATTCTTGGCCAGCCCATCTCATAGGGATTTTGTTAAAAAAAAAAAAAATGTTATGGGGAGAGATGTCTCTTGATAAAACTACATTAGGAGATACTGTACCAAAGACATGACATGAGCTCCTTCAGGAGCTCCTCCCTGCTGGCTGGACAGATTCTCACTTATTTATGAAGCAGCAGATACTTTTATAATTTGAATATTATATTGGTTATAAGTATTGCAGGAAATTGATACCTAATTTTTCTGTTTTTAAGTAATTATTTCAAAAATTAACCTGAAGCATTATTTGACGTGAGGCTTTGAGAGCAGTCTCATACTGTCTCTATGAGAACCACTGGCTTACACTTTCACTTCATAAGCAGAGCACTTTATTTTGCAATGAAAAGTTAAATGGCTCTTTCAAAAGCTGCTGTGAGTTCAGATTCCCACGTAGCTTCCAGTCCTACTTTACCTGTTTAAAAACTAGACCTAAGGTTAAAAACCACCTCAAGATCTCAAAGCCAGAGGTAGAAATAATCATACTGAAGAGATACAATAATTTATTAGGACTTTATTCAGAGAAAGCCCTGACAATTAGTAATAAGCAGTAAACTTGAGAGTCTGACAGGCCTGAGGGTGTTTGAGGCTCAGCCAACCATTGTTAGTTATGACTTTGAACAAGTTCCCCAGCCCCTCTCAGCATTTTTCATAAAACAGGAACAAAAATAAATAGCCCCTACCTCTGAGGAGGTCTGAGTAAAATGGGATAATGTAGGCAAAGCACTTGGCACACAGTGCTTAAATGTTATGCCATGTTTTTATTTACATACATATTAGAAGAGTATCCTTTTAAAAAATTCCTTCTTTTTCCCTTCCACCTAACTTCCCTTCCCGTCTGCTCTTAGAAGAGGGGGAAATTAATAGAGCAAGAAAGGGGAGGGAAGGTGGGCTAGCTATATAAAGAGCGAGGCATAAAAGAATCAGTGTGCCTTGTTTTAGTAGAATCAAAATATATCAAATCATTTATTCAACCAGTAACATTTGAGAAGTTCTTAGGAAGGTACTTTATGACCAGTTGGCTACAAAGAGTAACATTCAATACTTACCAAGCACCAACCATGCGCACATGAGTAGGACAACATGATCCCTGCCTTCAAGGATCAAAATGTCTCTGAGCTTGTTCCCAAACAAGTGGCAAGGAAAACAAGACACAAATTGAAAGTCTCACAACCTGCATCTGAGTGAAAGAGTGGTTCTCATTATTGTCCGTTGTAATAAGATTCTGAGACCTCATTCATGGTGTGTGTTTCCAGTCCTAACATGCACACAGTTTAACTTGCACAGGGAAAATATATATCCCATAGCAGTGGAAAAAGACACATGAATCTCTAAATAAGATACTATATGTAATCATCACCATATAGTTGCAGAGTAGCAAAGCCCTATCTGAGCTATAAATAAATTTTAACAGTTGGATCTATAAACTTACAGTTTTGCTGTTTTAATGCATAATTATTCCTGCTGTTCTTCTGTCATGCTGGAAATATAATCCTTTTTTTTATATCCTTTCTTCTTCCTCTAGAGTAAAATCCTCAAAGGCAGAAATTGTATCGCCAGCATCTAGCATATGCTGCCATATACGAGGATCCTTCAGAAAGTTCATGGAAATTATAGTTACAGAGTGTGGATTAAAATTAAGTAATTTTTTTCTTTTTAGAGTTTATGGAAAAAGAGAATTGAAAGAGAATACGAATCTTTCCATGAACTTTTTGAAGGACTGTCATAAGAGTTGCTTAGTAAATACTGATTGAATAAGAGATATTATCTTTTATTAACTGCAGTATCTAAGTCGTGCTCTTTGCTTCCTATAGCTCTGGTAGCTGAAGAACATCTTACAGTGGATGCCAGAGTCTATTCCTATGCCCTGGCGCTGAAACATGCAAACACGAAGCCATTTGAAGTGCCCTTCCTGAAATTTTAAGGCCAAAGGACACTGGCCATGTTTTGTAAACGAGACCACCAGGCCTTCATCACTAAGACTTTGTATACAACTTACTTTAATGTAGATTTGAAATTAGAATTTTCATAAAATAAAAGCAGCACAGAAAGCAATGTGGTGGTGGTATGGAATTGTAACTACAGGTAGGCTGTAACCTTCATTTAAATTTGTTGAGCTTTAGCTAATATTAGTGAAAAAGAACATAAATGCAGATGTTTACTCATTTTTTTTAAGCTCAACTGTTATTTTTCTAATCTAGTTCAGGAGGTGGGGGGGGGGGTTTCTATAGGAAAACAGGCCTGAGGTCTAAATTAGATCAACTAGGGCCGGCTCGTGGCTCACTCGGGAGAGTGCGGTGCTGATAACACCAAGGCCACGGGTTCAGAACCTATATAGGGATGGCCGGTTGGCTCACTAGCTGAGCGTGGTGTCGACAACACCAAGCCAAGGGTTGAGATCCCCTTACCGGTCATCTTTTTTAAAAAAATAAATAAATAAATAAAAATTAGATAAACTATTCCGACCCTCAACCCTCAATATAAAATTGTAAAGCTGGTATGCAAATACTTATTTACTGCATTAGTGTTTAAAACAAAGATTTTTTAAAAAAAAAGACCTATGGAGGGACTTTCTTGNACCAAGGCCACGGGTTCAGAACCTATATAGGGATGGCCGGTTGGCTCACTAGCTGAGCGTGGTGTCGACAACACCAAGCCAAGGGTTGAGATCCCCTTACCGGTCATCTTTTTTAAAAAAATAAATAAATAAATAAAAATTAGATCAACTATTCCGACCCTCAACCCTCAATATAAAATTGTAAAGCTGGTATGCAAATACTTATTTACTGCATTAGTGTTTAAAACAAAGATTTTTTAAAAAAAAAGACCTATGGAGGGACTTTCTTGGTCTCTTCTAATTGAATTATTTGCCATATGGCATTCAACTGGATAGTAAAGGATGTAAAATCAATAGAGAATATTTGTGATAAACAGTATATTTATATTTAGTGTCCTTATTTCCATCTAATTACTGAAGCTGAACCAGCTTATATGTAATGAAAAATGGTTGATTCTATTCGCTGCTGTCGACAACACCAAGCCAAGGGTTGAGATCCCCTTACCGGTCATCTTTTTTAAATAAATAAATAAATAAATAAAAATTAGATCAACTATTCCGACCCTCAACCCTCAATATAAAATTGTAAAGCTGGTATGCAAATACTTATTTAAATTAGATAAACTATTCCGACCCTCAACCCTCAATATAAAATTGTAAAGCTGGTATGCAAATACTTATTTACTGCATTAGTGTTTAAAACAAAGATTTTTTAAAAAAAAAGACCTATGGAGGGACTTTCTTGGTCTCTTCTAATTGAATTATTTGCCATATGGCATTCAACTGGATAGTAAAGGATGTAAAATCAATAGAGAATATTTGTGATAAACAGTATATTTATATTTAGTGTCCTTATTTCCATCTAATTACTGAAGCTGAACCAGCTTATATGTAATGAAAAATGGTTGATTCTATTCGCTGTACCAAGGCTAAGAGACTTGAAAATTCAGGGCCCTTCTCTCAAGCATGTACATGTACTTGAGAATCTGATTTCCTATCCTCACCTCAAAAAATACTCGATGTTACTAAAAACTAATTCATTGTAGTAAGACTGATATGGTTTGAGAGCACTGTCATCTTGGTGTTAAACCATGAGTAGCCAGAGAGGTTGGCCAGTATGTACCTAAAACCCTACACAAACTACTTTAAAGAAGCAGGGATTGTTTCTGGCTCACGCCATGCCTAAAGCTCCTGTCATCCACAAGTTCTACCAGTGTGACTGGACTGTTTTCTTAAGTCTTCTGAGTGAACTTAGCTCTTAAGTGCTGACTTGTGGCCTCCAGCAGCTCCAGGATCACTGCCTTTTCAATTTAGCCCCCACAGAAGTGTCAGGATGATTCTCATTGACCAGCACTAAGTCATGTTTCTAGCCTGGATCCAGAGATGAAGCCAGGTCCCTCAGAACCATATAAAAATGGTTCTCCAGGTAAAATCAGGGTACTAATACCAAAAGTGCTGCAGTATAGTTCGTGTGTCTACAGGTTCACTGTCTTACCCAAAGATAATTTTATGAGCAAAAATACAGGATCTTTATACTACATTTCTTAAACAAGAAATGGAAAGAATTATGGACCTATAGATCTCTATAGTTCAAGTTTACTCTCCCTATAAATGTTGTGAAAGTTAAGATCCAACTGCTTGCTGTATTGTAGCCTTCCCCTCTGCCTCTGGACACTTTTTTTTTAAATCCTGATTTTTAAGCATGGGCATCATTCTCCAAAGATCTTAATCCTTTCCCTGAGCTCTCAAGGGCCACATCGTATAATCCCCCTTGTTACTCCCTCCTTCAAATTCAGGAAGAGATAAAGCGTAGACAGCCACTAGCACAGACCAGTTCTGCCACTGCCATTCCTCAGGAATGACCAGTTTTACATGTTCATGGAGGAAGAGATCTGTAACCCCTACCTGTCTTTTCTGCCTTTCTTCCTAAAATTACAATTTAGAAGTGACAGCTAGACCCTAGAACATATCCCTAATGCCATTTATGTTATTTATAAACAAAAGGCTATGCTTTGGAAACAGTTTGAGAACTGGCAGTCTAGATGTTTTCACTGGCTGGCATTTTTTAAAATTAAGGTTATTTGCCCTGCATTTAAAAAATTCAGAGTTTCCTATAAAAAGCCATATTTTCACCTTGTGAAAAAAGAAATCAGATATAATAACACTGGGTCCAAATTTCTATGGTAACAATGGTCAGAGGCCCTTAGGAGATGTCCTCCAGTTGACCAATGTTGTTATCCTGCCTGCCTTTATTTTATGTCTTGCCCCTGTAACTGTTTGGCTTTGTGATCCCAAGCTAAATAAGGCATACTTCCTAAACTTACTAAGGAAGTAAACAATGATGGAAAATCATAATTTTTAAAAGATATCCTTTTCAGAAGTTTGATCTTTTTTGGAAAATAAAGCACATACTTTTAAAAATGATTTATTTACAAAGAATTGTGTTCTTTCAAATGGAGACTGGGATATTGTTTTGAGACTACTGTTTTCCTGTTCCTTTCCAAAATTAGTCACATGAATGAGTACCCTTAAATTGGTCACTGTCCTTCAATAATTTACAATTAAACATTAAAACAGAACTACAATCGACCTGTTTCAATAGGCATCTCAGGATGGACTTTGTATGAATACAATGGACCTATACAAATAATCTTAGAAAACATTTAATATCAGATATCTTTATTTTTCCAACACAATTGAAACAGTTTTTCTAAATAAAATTTTATTGTCTACTGTTTACACTTATGTTGCTGCTGTAAGTACAACAACATACACAGATTCCTAGCATGAATTACATATTGTTCACCCCCACTGAACTACAGACATTGCTTGAGAATTAGATCTTTGCTTTAGGGATTTAAAAAAGAAAAAAGAATTGGGGCATAGTATCTTGAAAGTATTCTCAAGTGACCGATTGGAATTAGAAGGCATAGCCAATACAGTCAGACAGCACTGATTATGCTGTCAGTGGGAAGAAAGGAATGAACAACAGGAAGAGTAATTAGAAGCAGTTTCTAGTGAAAGAAGTAACTGATGCTTGATTTTGCCTGTATGGGCTAAGTGACTGCTTTGAGAAGGGACAAATGGGGGGGGGGGGGGGGGATACTATGAGTTAAAAAAGTATAAAAAGTAATATCTAAAATATAGATTAGATATAAATGCTCCAGAACTCATTAAATAAGCTCAAAAATACTGGAAAGTGGCAATTCGAACTACATTTATTTTTAAACAAGTGGGGGGAATATTGTTTTGAATGTTGTGTGCAAAACTAATCCATGTCACCATCTCACTGTCATGATTTAACACAGCAAGGTAAATACATTGGTTTCCAGCATTACAGGCAACACTAGATGTACATTTTTTAATGAATAATGTAAACTTTAGTTTTAAGGCAGCTGGTACTAATGCTGCACACAGGCTTTAGCTCGGTACCCATTTCAGAAATGGGACAGCACTTAAAACAAGAAACTATGAGGGAAGAAAAGGGGAACCAGCATTTGACAAAAAAACAATGTGTCAAAATATTTTCCCTTTCACACGCACACAAAAATATTTGAACATTTAGAAAAACAAAGCACCCATCCCACCAACTTCAGCTTGTTCCTTAACAAATATTTCAAAATACTGATAAATAATAGTGACTGCAAGCAGAATTCCAGTGCCAGATCCAATTGCGCCCAGGAAGTCAGCTAACACTGACAGGGCGCCAATGCACAGACCACCAAATGCAGCTGCTGTGGGGATATACCTAGAAGACAAAACCCTTAGTCAGGCAATGGAGGAAAATATGGAAAGGTGCAACAGTTAGCAGCAATAGGATGTCAAAGCTTTGCCAGCAGTGGTTCTCTGAGAAATGTAACTGAACTAGTCAAACAGGGAACAGTCTGGAGTACTGATGAGTTATAGATAACGGATGACATTGTAATCAGAAAACTCTGATTAAAGCAATGATTTTTACTGTCTGATTTCAAGAAACCAGTAAACTAGCCAAGAAAGGCAATATATGATCTTAGGGCAGAAGATCAGAATCTTGAACTGAGGTTTAAATATTTAATATTTTTAAATGAGTGCCTTCAGTTCTCTCTCGTGGAATGAAGAGTAAATTTCAAAATGCTTTATATGTACAGTTGTCCCTTGGTATCTGCAGAGGATCAGTTCCAGGACCCCTAGGGATATCAAAATCCACAGATGCTCAAGTCACTTATATAAAATGGTGTTGTACAGTATCAACAAATTTATGTGACAACATTTTGATGATCATCTTCAACAGTAATTCAACCTTAGCTGCATATTAGAATCACCTAGAAAACCATTAAATATGGAATTTTATTTAAAATACTACCAGAAGAAAGAAAAAGACTGGGGGAGATGGTAGATGAAACAGAATGGCAGAATGATGATAACTGAAACTGGAGATTCATTATACTATTCTCTGTGATCTATATGTTCTAAATAAATAAAATGTTTAAGTAAATATATTAGTGCCTTTTCAACAAAT